ATGTTGTATGGTCGAGACACTGGAATTGACAAAAATACAGGAGACAAAACTAAAGTGGCAGAAATGAAGATGTAGAGGTTCTCCTTAGGATCTAAAAAAGTTAAATCTGGTCCTCTGGACATTCCAGAGGACCAGATTTAACTTTTTTAGATTTTTCTACCTGGATTATTGAGCATGCATCAGGATATGTTCTCCTTAGGAGTGACATGGATGGATAAGATTAGGAACGAGATCATCAGAGGTACAACACAGGTTGAACAATTGGGAGATAAAGTTAGAGAGGCCAGACTAAGATGGTTTGGACATGTCCAGAGGAGGGACAGTGGGTATATTGGTAGAAGAATATTAGAAACGCAGCTGCCTAAAAAAGACAAAGAGGAAGGCCAAAGAGAAGATACTGTATATGAATGTAGTTAGAGAGGACATGGAGGTAGTTGGAGTGAGGACAGAGGATGCAGAGGACAGAGTGAGATGGAGGAGGATGACTCGCTGTGGAGACCCCTGAAGAGGGAAAGGCCCCAAAAAAGAAGAATAGCTTTCTGCCTTTGATGGAGAGTGGCTGTGCTAAGATACTGTCGGACTTCGAGATCCAGACTGACAAGCAGTTGATGGCTAAACAAGCAGACATATAGAGGTTAAAAAATAGAAAACGCAGAGGTGATATATGTAGATATACAAGTAACACCAGAAAGAGTGAACATGAAAGGTTTGAGAAATACCAAAGGCTGAAAAAAGAAATTGAGAAGTTGTGGAGAGTGAAGGTCTCAGTGGTGCCAGTGGTCATCTGAGAACTCGGCCCTTTGACCCTCAGACTGAGAGTTGCTCCAACAGAATCCACAAACAGCCTCAGAGATCTCAGTCCAGAAGAATGCAGTCATAAGAACAGCTAAGCTACTGAACAGAACCCTGAAGCTATCAGGCCTCTGGTAGGAGACCCAAGCTTGGACGTGGAACAAACAGAACAAGCTGGGTTTGTTTTTTATTTATGCAAAGCAGGACCCCATCATAAAACACAATTAATAATAAAACCTCAGCAGGTGCACAAGAAGGCCAAACAGGACATAAAAAATGCATAATTTTTTCTTCAACAGGATGTGCATAAAAAAAGAATAACAGGTCGGTAACGCACACAGACACACACACAAACACACACAAAAAATATTTTCTTTTAAGATTTGAATTAGAATTAGGTGTGATGATACTTGTGCTATTTTTACTTACAGAACACATCAACCTCTTCAAGCTGTAAATTTTTGATTAGATCTTTACTGTTTCACCCTTTTTTTCATTCAACCTTTATTTAGACAGATAAGTCACATTAAGCCTAGAAGACTCATTTACAAGTGAGATCTGTTTAGATAGACAAAAAGTAGTGAAACTGGACACATGTAGGAATTGGAGGCGAAAAAATTCCCATCAAACTTTTTCTTCCTGCCTGAGAAGAAAAACTCTGATGTTAAAAAACATCTCGCACAAACAAGCAAATAGTGACGCAGACATTCTGCGGAGGTGGGGGGGAGACGATGAGAGCGGTGAGCATGTCCATAGATGCTCTCGAGAGCACTGTAAGAGTTCTGATAAGGATGTAATAATCAGTCAGTGTCCTCCGCTGAGATCCGAAAACATTCTCGAGGTATATTGGGGAATGGCCAAGAATAATGTCTATGAGAACCCAAGAGTTCTGAAATGATGACACAATGTTTATTCAGCTGGTTTCATCTGGTTATCAGTTGGAAATTCCTCAGGGAGGAGGTGGTGAGCGTCAGATCACATGTTCTCCAGGCGAATTCAGATAAGATGGCCTTCAAGGCCAGCCAAGGGAGCCAAATTCAGATAAACAGCCAGTTGTTTTGGAGACAGGCAGAACTTAATGACATCCACCTTGAGTCTGTGTTGGTCCACTCGGGTTCCGAAATGTCCAAATTACATGGCCACACCAATGGAACGTAACAGTAAAATCCCCAAGATTTGATCCATTCTGCCCAAAGCATTTGAGTCTAGGTACTCGAGACACAAACCAAACCATCATAAAGGCAAGCAGCGTGATCGGGCTATTATGTTACGTGTTTAAATGTATGCAAATCCATCTAAAACTTCTGAATTATTCCTGCCAGCAGACAGAAAACAAATGTGTTGGTGAGGTGTAACCTCCTAGCTCACTGGAGCAGAAAACAGCCTTCAGTTACAGAACTGTCAGATAATCCCAGATTAAAGGGTTACTATGTTTTACACTCTGAATAAATGTTTAATTAGTTCTAGCAGAGCCACAGACTGTTCGGTTGTCAGGATTTAGAGACATCCTTGGAGAGATGTGGCTGTGGTGTGAACGTCGTTGTATTAGTCTTTGTCATAAACAAGGAATTAAACACTTATGAATCGTAATGTTGCATCATATTTAACACATCTTCTCTGCCCTCACTGGTTCACTGTTGTGGAAACGTCTGATATAAATTACAGATATGTAAGAAGTAAGTTTCTCTGCCAGCTGATGTCTGACGTATGTCAACTTATGAGTAACTTACATGTAATGCGTGTGACGTTGTACATAACATACCTGTTGCGTATCAGTAACAAATCAAACTTATCAGCAATGTGTCGACATGTGCTGAAAATTTTGAGCACAACTTCTGCCATCGCATATCAGAATGCTGGTAACTTCCTCCAAACTTACACCAGCGTGTTTGCCAGTTTTTTCATATATTGGGATACTCTGATAAAATACATCTCTGTGTGACAGTCTCTTTAAGACTTGTTGTTTTTTCTTTGGAGTCAGGACCACAGCTGTTGACTGCTCAACAGAAGGGTTAGTAAGGTTTTTTTTTCCGAAGAAGGAAATCTGTGACATAAAAGTACCTGTGTGTTTATAGCATGGCACTTAAAACAAGTGAGAGGACAATGAGACATTAACCTTAAACTTCACATCAATGTGAAGAAGACCAAGGAGATGGTTGTGGGCTTCAGAAGGAACAAAAACATCTAACACCCCGCCCCCCGAACATAGGAGGATATGTAATGGAAGTGGTCTCCAGCTACAAATACTTGGGTGTGCACCTGAATGACAACCTCAGCTGGGACAACAACCCCACCAGCCTGATCAAGAAAGATCATCAGAGACTCTACTTCCTCAGGCGGCTGAGACGAGCTGGTCTGGGAAGCTCAGTCCTCACCTCCTTCTACAGGTGTGCAGTGGAGAGCATCCTGTGCTCCATCAACATGTGGCCTGGAGGCTGCACAGCTGCAGAAAGAAAAGCTGCACAGAAGGCTGTTGGAGTCAGTCTCCCCACCATCAGACATTTACAACTCCAGATCCAGGAATAGGACCACCTGCATCATGAAGGACCTCACTCACCCAGCACACACACTTTTTGCCCTGATCCCCTCTGGAAGGAGTTTGAGGAGCATTAAGTGTAGAACCACTAGACTGAGGAACAGCTTCTACCCTGAAGCTGTTAGACTCATGAATCCCTAACCAGGATAATCACTGTGAAAAATCACATCATGTTACTGCTGATCTGTTTCATGTTGCTGCTGATCTGTTTCATGTTGCTGCTGATCTGTTTCATGTTTTCATGTTGATGTGTTCATGCATGCTCATCTGTTCACAGACTCATGTTCGTGCTGCTGTTCGGTATTTTGTTTTTATTGTTTTTATGCGATTAGTGCTTAGTGTATTTTTAGTTGATGTTTTTCTTAGTTCATATCTTAGGTCTTATTACTGTTTTTCTTTTACATTTTATTGTTAGATGTAACTGGGACCCTGTGTACATAATTTTGTTCCACCACATGTACCACATGGGGTGGAACGACAAATAAACTCTGACTATGTAATTGTCTCCTTTTACCCAGTTTGTATTTCACTGCTACAGGACGTTTCCCTTAAAGTCCTTCAAAGTGCAGAGTGTACACATCTAAACTCTAAGTGACTTCCATTCTAAGATCTGGTTATATTTTCTACATAAATCACTGCAGATTATTTGAAAAGTTAGTTATGGACAGCAGCCTTCAAATTTTTGTCAGAAATCTTGTAGTTTACTCATTTAAAAACATTGCTTTAACCTCAAGATTTTATGGAATGAAAATAATAAGTTGTTTTGGATAGTACTTTTTATAATTGGACCTAAACTATGTATTTTTTTCTTATAGTTTATGGGACTGTTTTGTTTAGAAACAATACATCCAAAATGTGTTCTTTAAAAACAACAATGACTTTAATAGATTTAAAGTTTTTCTTTTTGGATTTCAGAGTAAATTTAAACATTTTTAAATGGTAAATGGACTGTATATACAGTAGTACCTTTCTATCTTATCAAGATACTCAAAGCTCTTTACAGTACAATCTGTGTCCTCATTTACCCATTCATACAGCACTCTGCTAGATCTACACATAGAATAATCAGTACTTTATCATATTCATACACAGATGGGACACACATCAGAGGCAGTGAGGGGTTCAGTGTCTTGCCCAGGGACACTTCAACATATGACTGCTGGTAGAATCAAACCCTCAACTCTGGAGGACGACTGCTCTAACCACTCAGCCACAGCTGCTCTTTTATTGAAAATATCAGAACAATTTTAAATCTATAGGCTCTCATTGACTTTGAGTTTATTTTGTTATGCTCTCTTTTTGGTGACAAAAACAAACTAATAAAAGTATTTAGTAAAATAACTAAAAATATGTATTTTTAATTGTTTTCTAAATCTAAATGTAAAGTGATGGGAGAATTTTAACTGTACCGTTTGAACTAAAGAGGTCATTTTAGAGTCATGTCAAACCAATATACTTAAAGATTAAACTTTTTTAACTTGTTTTTGTATATTTTGGGCTTTCTAGTGAAAAATATCCAAATTAATCTAAAAAATGAGATAAATAATAATAATTGTCCGGAGAATCATCATGAAATGTCTCAAACTGTCACCAAAGCTTTCCAAGTTACGTTTAGTGACTGATGAGAGTCTGTGCTGATGTTTCAGGTGTGTCAGCTGCAGGTGTCTCTCACCTGATGATGTCATCATTGTGACCCAGGTAGAACCTCTGGCTGTGCTCCCTGGTGTTGTAAACCACGCCGACCCCCGCCACAAAGTACACCACCTCCTTCCCCGCAGTGTAGAACAGGTTGTTCCTGCACTGGTGGCCCCGGTATCCGTAGACCCAGTCCAGTCTGAGCCGGCAGCCCGGGGCGGTCCGGTCCGACATGTTCACTCATCTGATGGGTCACACTGTCCCTCCTCCTCCTCCTCCTCCTCCTCCTGGTTCTGGGTGGAGGTCCTCCAGACCAGAGTGACTGATGTTTGGATAGAAATAATTATCTGGACTCAGGTCCAAAATGGTTCTGTTCTGAGCTCGAGATGTTTTACAAAGAGGTTTTCTTTAATTTTACCTTGTGACTTAAAAAAAGAAATAAAAATGTTCACTTCAAAGATAAATCAGAGACAAATAGAATAAGTTTTACAACATTTCACAGTTTTCTCTGCCGATTTAGTTTTAGAATTCCTCCATGCTTGTGACATGATTGAAATGCATCTTGAATGAAACTGATATATTTCATTAAAAACTACATTTGTAAAGTTTAGTTATGAGTTTACACTGACTCTGCAAGCATTTGCACAAATCCGTTGTTTTGAAGAATCAAACAGTTTAACAGGTGTTTGATTGTTCTCCGATTTGTTCCACAGCAACAAACTCGTTTCGTCTCGAGAACGTTTTTAAATCAGAGCTGTTCTCAGAATAAAACACTAACTCAACAACGTGGACGTGAAGGCATCACTGATGGAAGCCTCAGATGAATTTAATCCTTCCCCAGGATAATCCTCAGCATCCTCCCGGTCCTGCTTCCGCCTGCATCCCTCCTTCACCTCCTCTCATCCGAAGAAGGTGGAGGAGCTTCTTCGTAAATCAGAGCAGAGAATAAAAATTAAAAAAATCGACAGGATGTTAAATAATCCACAGTTTAAGACTGAAATGTTCGTCTCGTTCCGGAGAAACCCGTTTAATCCTCGCACAAGATCCAAGTTGAGCGGGAGGAGCAGGGGAGCAGCCCCGGCTGCACGGAGCAGCATCCCGGCCGGAGGAGGGGGGGTTCGTCCGGCTGCAGCAGAGACCCTCCACCCGCAGACACCACCAGACCCACAGACCCTCCCAGACCGCCGAGTCTCAGGTCTGAGTCGTGTGATGCTTTTTAGACAGGAACGCGCGTGAGGAGGAGCAGAGTTGAGCGTCAGATCCGGTTCATGTGTTTCAAAATAAAAGCCCTAAGCAAATTTTATTATTATTATTATTATTGAACGAGAGTAATTAAAAAAATTGTGAGGGCATATTAACAACCACTTTTAAGCAACTCTTAGCAGGGTACATATAAAATAAACAAAAATCAATTAACTGAACAGGAAAGTAAGAATTCAATTCAACCTTGATTTAGACAGATAAATCACATCGAGCCTCGAAGACTCGTTTACTGTACAAGTGAGATATGCTTAAACAGACAAAAAGTAGTGAAACTAGACACACGAAGGAAATGGAAGCAAAAAAATACAAAATAAAAATTCCTACCGAACTCTTTCTTCTTGGCTAAAAAGAAAGATCTCGATATTGGAAAAACACCTCGCACATGCAAGCATAGTGACGTAGACATTCTGCAGAGGGGGAGAGACAACGAGAGCGGTGAGCATGTTTATAGATGCTCTCGAGGACACATTAAGAGTTCTGATAAGGATGGAATAATCAACAAGTGTCCTCCGGTGAGATCCGTAAACATTCTCGAGGGATGTCGGGGAATGGCCAAGGACAATGCCTATGGGAATCCCAGAGTCCTGAAATGATGACACAATGTTTATTCAGCTGGTTTCCTCAGGTTGATCAGTTGGAATTCCTTGATTGGGGGGTGGGGGGGGGGGGTGTAAAAGCTTCAGATCACACGTCCTTCAGGCAAATTATGTCAGAGATCTGATGGCAGAGGATCCTACACAGAGACTCAGAAAGGTATTTTAAATGTTTATTGAGTAAATAAACAGCTTCTGGTGTCTCAGGTCCAGGGGCAGGAACTGTATCTAAAATGATACAGAGGGGAAAGGTTAGTGTTTGACAGAATAACGAGTAGTTATCTGAATACAGAAGGTCTGATGCAACACTAACCTTTCTTGTTGTAACGGTACGCTCCAGTGGAGACACAGAGCTGCAGAGACCAAGGGAAATCCAGAGGCGTACACTGGAAAAAGTTTTGCACAGAGTTGTTCATTCAAGCTAAAAACTATTATTGAATACAATGTACAATAATTGACTTGGTTGTGAAAGTCTATTTTTTTGCATTCTGAGGTTTCAATTTTGATTCAGACTGAATCAATAACACTTTTGATGGGAAGAAAGCAAATATTTTGGTTCCTCTCAAAACATGCTGAAAGGAAATGATGTCATATTTTCAATCTGAGTCACGTGAGAAGACGTTGGGGAGAAGTGCTTGGGTAGAAATAGAAGAGAAGAGGATATTATATCTAGACTAAGATTTGGGCATACGGGGCTGAATAGTACGCTGAAAATAATTAATAAACATAGTACAGGTTTGTGTAATTTTTGTGGAGAGTCAGAAACGGTGCAGCATATTCTTCTAGAATGTAGTAAATACAGCCGGGAAAGAGAGTTGTTAATTAGAGAGATGAACAGTAATAAAATCAATTTAGATGTTAAAAATTTGCTGCAAAGATCTTCTGAAAATATAATTTTTAACAGCATTTTTAGGTTTCTCAAGATGTCAGGCATTATGGGGAGAATATAGTGATAGGACATCTAATCTATACTCCAGTCTGGAAGGTGGCGGTAATGCACCTATAAGTTGTTTGCCAACCGCCATTAAACATAAAAGAAGAAGAAGAAGAAGAAGAAGTGCTTGGAGAGCTTCGTCCGTTGCACAATGTGTCTGCAATGTGTCACCTATGTGTCAAACAATGTGTCACCTATGCCATTATACAGTATATAGTGATTAATGAGGTGTGCCATACTGCAGTTGTTCAGTTGCATATTTCGTATATTTTGCCTCAGGTCTCCCAGAAAGATCAAGCCGAGCAGGAGCTGGAGAGGACCATCATGGCAGTCTTCGTCTTCAGAGAGAATTCAAGCCTTCTACAGCAGCCCCAAGACGTTGGGATTGTCATTGATGGTGTGGAAGTCCTCAATGAGTTGCCTTCTCTTGCAGCTGGAGTGGCAATGCTCTTTGGACTTTGCTATGCTCTTAACATGGAGTATCCACAGGGTTTCAGGTTCACCTTTGAGGCCCTTCAGAAGATCCTGATGGAGCTTGGTTCCAACAAGATGACTTCCAAGATTCGCAAACTCAGTGGTGAACTCAAAACTGCACAGTAGTGTATATTTAAGTGTGTGCTTAATGTGTGTGCATGTAGTTGCCACTGGCATCTATTTAAGAGGTAGACCACCTCACAGCACTTTGTTATACATGTTCAGGTGGTCACTTTCATGGAGTGCTTTTGTTGGAATTTTAGTTCTTTCATGATGTTTAGAGATGCAACATTCCTTCAAGTTCAGATGTGTTTGAACAGTACAACAATAGTGAATGCTTTCTGTCCATTTAATTTTGCTTGATAAGCCATATTGTCTTTATGTCATTGCTCTGATCAACAATGACATGTTTATATTTGTTTGTCTGAACATGCAACTTTTTTTGTCCTTTTTTACTTGAGGAATAAATGGCTTATAAGAAAAATGTTGCTGGAGTGTGTTAAGTGTGATGTGAGTGATGCAGATTGTTTGACACCAAGTTTATGACATTTTAAAAAAGAAGACTTTCATGGTGCCAATGAATTAATTTATGCTAGGTATATATATTAGATGGGTTCAATTTAAATATATTAGTTTGGTTCATAAACTAAAATGTAAATTATTTAACTTGGATAAAGGTGAAGAATTAAT